AGACCGAGTCGTACCAAGAAAAAGGAAGAAGAGGATAGGCCAGAAGGGAAGAATTATTAGCAAGTGTGGTTTGACGCACGTCGTCGGAGCTGTCGTCGGAGAATCTCCCGTGACGGTAGATCAGACGGAGGTGTGGGAGGCGATAGGCAAAAAGCGGACAATGCATCCGCGAATAGAGAGAGGTCGTGTGCGTCCTTGTGTGTGAAGAGGAGTCATGGTTGAAGGAACAACGTGGTCCTCCTTACTCTCTCTTGTTTTGCGCGGGAAGTTGGAACTCATAGCCCCTCCTCGCATTTCCAGACATTGTCCATCTGGAGGCTTGGCATTCTGGGAGAACGGCACGGCAGCGACCACGGGTTATCGAGTAAGGTAGGTACTGAGAAGGAAGTAAATGACACCACTTGGATGAGAGTGGCAATGTTAAGCACCCAGTCTCTGCTCAAAGTTCGCCCAAGCTGTGTGGCCATCCTGGGGATCGTCTCATGGTGTAAGTGTGCGCGAGTTTTACGTACCTTGAAGGTAAGGTAGCTCTAGCTTGTCTGGGTTGGGTTGGATGGTTGGCTTTCGTTGGACGGATAAGTTGTAATAGGTTTGTAAACCGGATGGTAAGCTTAGTCGGACAGAAAACTCACAAGAGGCACATGGCACATGAACATCCATCACAAAAAAGAAGGTCCAAGACTCTCCAATACTCCAATAACTCTCCAAATAAAGAAGGGGTCGGCAGCGCCCCGATCTACAATTTTAGCGAGAGTTTTCCCGTCCGCCTATCTTACCCGCTAACCCAACCCGCGCCCCTGGGATGGGGCGTGGAGTTCGCTCTTTCTCTTCGCCTGTATTATTTGCAGACACACACACACGCATACACACGGCACACGCAGCACCACACCACACCATACCACACCTCGAAAACCCCAAGAACGAACGGATACTTCGCCGCGGGGCACACACATGGACCATGGTTCCAAGAACAATCCGCACGGCGCGGGGGGAGCCAATGGTATTTCTCCCAGACTTTACAGCGAGAATTGAGCTCCTTTCAGGCCAAGTCATTGGTCCGCCCAGCGCGCACCACCACCACCATTACTCTCCGCGGACCACCACCCACACACCATTGAGCCGTCGAACGCGCACCTTAGCAAACGCAGTTAATTAGCACGATTAGGTGGCCGTCCACCCCGCGCGGGCAGCAAGTAAACTCGGGACTGACTCCAAGGAGGACCAAGGGCCACCACCCGCATGCGGCGCTTGCATGCACCGGCCTGTCATCGAGAGGGACGATCTTCCGCACCGTGGCCCACACACGCACGACGTTTCGTGTCCCGCCTCGGTTATTGCCAGTGTCTTTCGACCACCTTGTTTTGTCTGACTTGGATCCAACTTGAGAGACAGAGCGAGACCAAAGAGAGAGCGAGAGAGGGGGCGGGGAAAGACAGTTGCGCCCCCGGGCTTAGGTCGACTGTGGCCCGGGTTGAGAGGATGTAGGTATGTATATAAGTCAGAGCGAGGAGCTTCCAGGCGCGCAATCCTTTTTTTGAGCTTGCAAGCTAGTTCTGGTGTGTTGCTCTGTCTGCCCTGCGCTCCTCTACTCTGTACTGAGCATATCTACTGTCCCACTTCCTTCTTTCTTCTTCCCCCCCTTCTCTCCTTCTTTCACACCCAATTGCAACCTCTCTAGGTAGACTGACTTTCAACAGCCCTGTCAGACTGGTTTTCGGTATGGGTTCGATCACTCTGAACAACGCCAGCAGAGCCTGGTGGAAGGATGCTGTCATCTACCAGATCTACCCCGCCAGCTTCAAGGACGGCAACGGAGATGGCCTCGGCGACGTCCAGGGCATGATTGACAAGGTTGATTACCTCAAGGACCTGGGCACTGACATCGTATGGGTCTCGCCCATGTACGCCAGCCCTCAGGTCGATATGGGCTACGATATTTCCGATTACCAGGACGTCCACCGCCCCTACGGCACCGTCCGCGACATGGAGGTCCTCATTGAGGAATGCCACAAGCGCGGTATGAAGCTCATCCTTGACCTCGTCGTCAACCACACCTCGGACCAGCACAAGTGGTTCCAGGAGTCGAGATCCTCAAAAACGAACCCCAAGCGGAACTGGTACATCTGGAAACCTCCTCGTTACGCCGAGGACGGCACCCGTCTGCCTCCCACCAACTGGCGAAGCCACTTCAGCGGTAGCACATGGGAGTGGGACGAGCCCACGGGCGAGTATTACCTGCACCTCTTCGCCAAGGAGCAGCCCGATCTCAACTGGGAGAACGAGGAGACGCGCGAGGCCATCTACGAGAACGCCATGCGCTTCTGGCTCGACAAGGGCGTCGACGGCTTCCGCATCGACACGGTCAACATGTACAGCAAGGGCGTCGACTTCCGCGACGCCCCCATCATGAACAAGAACGCCTACGAGCAGCCCGCCTACATGATTTACTGCAACGGCCCGCGGATACACGAGTTCCTGCGCGAGATGAACGCAAAAGTCCTCAACCACTACGACACCGTCACCGTCGGCGAGCTCCCCCACACCCCGGACCCGAAACACGTCCTCAAGTTCATCAGCGCCGCCGACCGCCAGCTCGACATGGTCTTCCAGTTCGACATTGTCGACCTCGGTCAGGGCGTCGGATACAAGTACCAGGCCCAGAAGTGGACCTTGCCCGAGCTGAAGCGCATCGTGGCGAAGTGGCAGCAGTTCATCGAGGGTACCGACGGCTGGACGACGGCCTTTTGCGAGAACCACGACCAGGGCAGGTCCGTCTCGCGCTGGGGCAGTGACTCGCCCGAGTGGCGCGAGACGTCGGCCAAGATGCTGGCGCTCATGATGTGCTCGCAGACGGGCACGCTATTCGTCTACCAGGGCCAGGAGATCGGCATGACCAACGTCTCGCGCAGCTGGGGCATCGAGGACTACAAGGACATTGAGGCGCTCAACTACTACGACGACATCAAGAAGGAATTTGGCGAGGGCAGTGACATGCTGAAATACGTCATGGACGGCATCAACCTGCTCGGCCGCGACAACGCGCGCATCCCGATGCAGTGGGACGACAAGCCGTACGCCGGCTTCACGGACAACAAGAACGGCGCGTGGATGCGCGTCCACGACGAGTATCGGTCCATCAACGTCGCCAAGCAGGAAAAGGAACCGGGCTCGGTGCTGAACTTTTGGCGCGAGATGCTGAAGTTGCGCAAGGAGGAGGGCGAGCTTCTGACGCACGGCGCGTTTGAGCTGTTTGATGTGGAGAACAAGGAGACGTTTGTGTATAAGAAGACGCGCGGGGGCCGGAGCGCCGTCGTGGTGTTGAACTTCACGGGTGAGGAGCAGGCGGTCGAGGTCCCCGGCGAGGGCGCCAAGATCCGGGTCGGAAACTACGACGATGTCAAGGAAAGAGTTGCTTCCGAGAGCGGCAAGACGGTCTTGAGGCCCTGGGAGGGACGTTTGTATCTGCAGGGTTGAAGCTGTGTAAGCATGTGGTTCTTGGATATACCTCCTGAGTTATAGGGTAAAATGGTTTGGCGGAACAAGATCTAGTGCAGAATTTTGATTGATGGTCTATAGAGAGATGATTGACCTACTGTGGCTAGAACTTTTTGGGATTTTCGTTGTTCAGGATATCAAATGAAGCTATTCCCAACTCCTCAAGACTGCCTCTTTGTACCTTTTGGAGTCGCTAAATGAATGAATAGCCCCCAAAGTTGGGGTAAGCTCCCTTGCAGTGTCCGTGCTCCCCCTCTGTCGGCTCCCCGCATGCGGTTGCATCTCCACACCATCTTTAATCCTCCAACATCCATCCAACTTCCCCCAACACGTACTTTCTCAACCAAAATTTGCCTGGAGAGCTGATCCAAACAAATTTTCGGTGGAAGAAGGAATTGGTTGACTCATAGCCATTTTCAAAATGCAATAAAGAGACTTTTGTTGTATGATTATCCTGCTTTTGGCACTCTTGAAAGCTATTGCACTTAGTTCCGGGAAGGATGTATTGTGAAGTGTGTATAAGAGCGTCAGAGAAAAGGAGGAACCCAAGGCGGTGTCTTGCATGGACAAACTACGCCGAGCTAGATACTCTTCTAATTTTCCGAAGCCATATGCTTTCACGTCATTCTGTTAACCAAGTCGGCTGGCTTTTCTTTCTTCTTGCTTACAGTCTGGCAAACTAATGCCCTTCATCCTTATACAGATTGGTGTTGCATGGTATGCTTGAAAGCCCGCAAAGGAGGTTTGTCGTTTCGACGGAATATCTATCCAAAGCCGACTTTCAACTACGTTTGAGAACCTACGAGGTGCTTTATAACTTGAGATCTAGATGAGACCCCATGGAACTAGGTCTTTCAGTCGAGATCACTTGAGGAACTCTATTTCTTGATTCTAGAGGATCATGCTCATTTCGGCTTCCTCTTTGGTGACGGTCTCGCATCGTGTGGAAAACACGTGCCACGTTGGGCAACATTGACCGTTGCCATCATATTTAAGAACGCGAGCGTATCGTTTGAGTTCACTTGAAAGCCGGGTATCGTCGATGTCGAGTAGATCCTTGCCACAGTGAATCCTGAAAAGCCTCCCTTGTCAAGGTTGAGGACTGAACAAGGGCTGTCTTTTGGTTCTACTTTATTCGATTGAAAACCTATGTGCTTACTTCAAGTTCATTTCGAATACTAGTCACGATCCGGCAACAATCTCGTATCTTTCCTCGAATATGCATGAGCGACTAAGCAATATCGGGGCGCTTAAAGTACTGCTCTAATATTAATAACGCTTTGGCAACAGTCACATATCGCACAACGAATACGTACAAGAGACTGAACAATATTAAGAATTCCCAATCCCCGCTCTAGTACCAGTCACGATCCACTTATGGCCTTATATCATGCTACGAATATGTGCGAGCGACTAAGCAATGATGAGAGGTATCTGTTAAAATAGCTTCTTACTTCTCTTACTTCTCGAACTTCCTGCTTCCCAGCCAACGCACCACAGCCAAGATGCCTTCCCTCAGTCAAAGCTTGGCCCTGGGGTACGTCATCGTACTTCAGGTGCTCTACCTCTCCTTCGGCACCAGAGGAGGAATCGTCATCGACCTCGTTTTGGCCGCTTTTATAGCAGTCCCCGTCACCGCTGGAATCCGGCTCATTGTCTCCGCCATCAGCCCTCGCACCAGCAAGACCGTCCTCCCTGGTCGTTCTGTCGAATACTACATGACCTTCAAGCATCCAGCAAATGTCAAGTACCGCGGCAAGAGAAAGATCCCGATGGCTACCTTCTGCCAGATGCACCTCGATGGAGACGTTAAGATGAACGGAGATATCCACCCAGCCCACGAGAGACTCGATCTAGGCATACTCCGCGGCTTCCTGGGACCCCGGATGGTGTACACTTCAGGTCTCGTCCGCGACACCAACAAGCAAGAGTTCCTCGAGGAACTCGAGAACAATAGACTCGGCGTCATCTGCGAAAAGAACCACCTCAATCCGTACGACAGAGTCCTCAGCATCGGCTACGGGTGGGAAGCGTTCGCCAACTACGCCCGTCGTATCTTCCCTCACGTCCCATTCACTGGTCTCAACCACGTCGCCGAGTACACCAACATCGCTCCCATCAAAGGCAGCTACAAGAAAATCGTCTGCACGTATCTAGCCGAGCACAAAGGCCCCGACAACTTCATGGCTCTGCACAACGGCCCCGGCGAGTACTCAGACTTTTTCAAGCACATTCACGGCCTGCTCGCCGACGGCGGCATCTTCTTCCTCGAGGTCGCGGGCGGTAATGAGCCCTGGCAGTAGGAGGATCTCGTATGGAGACTCCTGATGGCCAAGTACGTCTACCCTGACGCCGTCCCTTATGCCTCGCTCGCATCCTTGATCAACCAGCTCGAGACCGCCGGCTTCAGAGCCAATAGTGTGAAAAACATTGGTCGCTCTTACTCTGAGACGGTTCGGAAGTGGTACGGTAACTTTGTGCGAAATCGAGAGGCTCTGATGGCCATGTATGGCCCCAAGATCTACCGGGTGAGTTTCCTTGCACAGCTCTCTTTCTCTCCGTCCTCTATGTTTTTGTCTCAAGGTGGATGACATGCTGACATCCAGTCTACCTTTTTAGACATTCGAGTTCTTCCTAGCTTACCTGGTCATCATCTTCGGTCAAGGCAGCGTCAACACTTACCAGATTGTCGTCACCAAGAATCCCAGTCCTGTCGACCGAACCAAGTCTGAGCCTGTAGTTGAGGAGTCTTCTTGGGATCTCTGCGAGTAGCTCCGTGGATCTCCCTTCCTTCGATTCAAATTCAATAGATCTTTTCATCTCTCGGGGTTATGGGTTTTCATGAGGAAGCGGTATTCTGGGATGAGTTATTAAGGAAATCGGGTCAAAGGGTGGGACACAGGATGAGACAGGACACCTGAAATCACCATGGTCAATATCATGAAAGTAGCAAGAGGTAATGCCCTGGTCTACTCCCATGAGAGTTCGGACACAGTCAGTTCCTGAGTGTTGACAAAATGGATGGCTGTGAGGAACAACAATGATGAATGATGTGGCGCGGGACGTGATACAGCGTTAGACTTATTCCATCGCTTCGCCAAGAAACGCAAAGTAAGGTCGCATTCACGTATAAATACTACACTACTTAGAGACTCGGCGGCTTGCAATACCTCCAAAGTTCAAGTAAGTGGAAGGGATCGATCAAATTTCTCACTGGCAAGGGGGAAGGGGGAGGCGGAGGCGATTCAAGATCTGGTTTCACAAACTTTTCAAAACGCACAGCACCAAACGGACCTTATAGTGTCAAAATCAAGTGAGGACCGAGTGACTGGTCGAGAGGATGTTTGCGCTCCAGCAGATGAGGAAGAAACATAAAGGCAAACACCACGAGAAGGTGTTTGTGCTACCCTCCCTCTTAGAGAAGAGAAATTAGCACAGCTCGGATCAAACTCTCGATCGAACATACCACAAACAGCCCTTCCATCAAACTGTTCCGCCTCACATGGTCGCTGTTCTCTCTGGGAGAGGAACAAAGACGCATGGCCAAAGCTGCGAATAAAACCAAGGGCAACCCCTTTTCGCCAGCCTCCGCCTCGACTTCCCATCTTTCTCGTCACATCTTCATTTCTTCCCACTTGCCACATCATCACGTCGACTTCAACAAAACCACCTTCTCGTTAACTCGGTTAAAATTCTTGTTGGTTAGACTTCCGACGATGCAGACCCTCTCGGTTCTGCTCCTCGTCGTTGCGGCCAGCATACCGACGACGGAAACCTTTGGATTCTGGCGTCCTCACCTACTAGAGCTGTCGACACAGCTAGGAATCAACGACAGCATTCCCGCGTTACCAAGGGCAAACCGATGGCCACGGCCGCAGCTGACGCCGGTATTCATAGATTCAAATACCATCGCAAAGAGATCTGAGCAGAGAACCCCTACCACGGCCGTGACCATAGGCCTAAACACCTGCGGCTTATTCACACTCTCTAAAGAGACAGGTCTGGGTTAGTGTTTTCTTTTCTTTGATCTCCACGTCAAAACACCAATCTCGAAGCCGGTAGACAAAATCACCACTCGAGGATCCCGGTATTTGTGGTATGCTGATGAACATCTCTCTCGGCTGCCTCAGTGATACGATCACGCACTTGCGATGAAGACACCCGCTGCACCATTCAAAATGATTATTTAGCCTGTGGAGCGGCCCTAGCAACCGCTTGTTTGCCTCACGGTCACTCCATGTGCAGTCCATTTCCATCTCAGACTCGCGGAAGGGATACAATGTGCTGGTACGTCCCCGCGTTCCCCGAGGAAACTTGAAATGTTGCCTCACCCCTTCTTCTCTGGCGGGGGAAGACGACACTGACGGTGTCTGGAAAATCCATAGTACGTCAACGAACAGCTTCAACGGGGAGTGCCAGGAGTTCCGCCGGAAAGAGGGCAACCAAGACAAAACACTCTGGGGATGTCGCGAGAAAGGCTTGCCATGGGATCCCCTCGTCTACCTGTATACCGCATCGACCAATTTGCTTCCTCCAGCTCCTGCCACCACCACGTCTTCTTCTTCTTCTTCAGCAGATACGCGAATCACGTCCGTGCCAGGCTCCTCCTCGACAGTCTCAGACGACACGTCAACACCATCCGTTCCATCAAGCCCGACGCTTTCGACAGCCTCCTCGACAAGCGCACCGACGCCGGAACCTTCCAACGGCGGTGGCGGTGGCGCTGCTCCATCCAGCGGTAATCAGACGGGTGCCATTGTCGGCGGTGTCCTCGGCAGCGTGACCATCCTCGCCATCGCCGGCTGCGTCGTCACATGGCTCGTTGTGAGAAGAAGAAGAGCTTCGTCGGTCCGGGGAGAGTCGAGAGGCGGTGGTCACGTCTTGCCGTCTCCCAGCCACGAGCTCGCCGGCGACCAGCCGTGTGTGTCTCCGATAAATCAGAAAGAGGGAGAGCAGTGGAACTATCAGCCCATGTCACCCACGTCGCCCGCGTCCTCGTCTGCTCAGCATCGGGACGTTTTTCAGGCGCCGGCGAACGATTCGATAGGAAGCGCGATGAAGCCTGCTGAGTTGGGCTGAGTTGAAATGCTCGACGATGTGGCGATCTTCAATGTTTCTCTAGCATCTGGTTCTATGCGAAAGGCCCTGGCGGGCCAAGGGGTCTGATGGAAATGAGTTATCATTTTTTTTCTTTTGATATGAGTGCTCGTCCTGCGAGCAGATATGCCACTGTTCAGAACTTAATAACGATTGTCTACCAAATGTTACATCGCATCTCACCGGTATTGATGTCGGGTTCAGCTGTACGCATGTAATGCTATAAACATCCCATGGAGAAAGTTCTTATAGATATCTCCCAGATGTGCAAGGTCTAGCCATGCTGAGTGAGTCAAGAACTAATTGCAAGCTCTTTGAGACCGGTAGCATGATGACTTCCGACAGCTAGAGCACACCTCGTGTACTCGCCTGATTCTAATTATTACTATTTCAAGAGCCCGTGACTGTAGCTCAAGGACTCGATAGCCATTCATGAGGCTCGGAACCATGCAACATAGTAGATACATTTCGCCCTTGAGACCCTCAACCAAGTGTTTGCGTGGAATAAGGGCAGAGGAAGCGATGAGGTGAACAAAGAGACGCGATTCCCTTTCGTTTTGGGTCACAATTTGAATACAAGCAAGGGCAACCCACTTCGCTTGTGTCTTTCGTCGTACATGTTTGCTCCTACTTCGACCATTTCTATTCCAGTTTTAGCCATCTTTGAACCTCAAAAAACCCCAAGTCGGTCCTAACATAGATGCCAAGAACCTACTGACTTATATGACCAAAGTCAAAATGCCCTTCTGCGCAACTCTTCTTCGCAATGGCCCGCCCGTTCCTGAAGGCACGTACGTCTCTTAGCCTCTCCATTGCTTGCTCCCGTTTCGTTCTTCGATATGAGAGGCCACTCACTTCTGCTCGCTTTCGCCAGCACCCTTCTGTCTCTAACGACAGCGGACCCCATCGCCCTCGCCATCGTCATGCCGACAGAGAGCGCAGCTCCCCCGCTCGACAGATTGACAAACAGCGGCCCGCTGGACCAACAACGATCTGGAGTCCGGGCCACGAGACAAGTCATCTCAGAGGGCATGGGAAAGGAGACGTGCGGGTTCTTTAGAACAGGGGGAGGTTAGTTTCCTCCATCATGATCTTGAAATTACCTGCTTGGACTTTTCTCCCCCAGATTCTGCCTTCTCTCCCGGGAGAGGAGAGGAGGTGGCATGGGATGGGTTCAGATTAGGAGATGAATAGAAGGAACCAGTACTGACGCAAAGCCTATCAACCTGTTCTCAGAACTCGCATTAGTCACCTGCACAGCCGGCACAGGAACCTCCAGAATCGCATGCCACAACACGGGCAGGTGGCTCTGCGGAAGCCTCTACTCGACCTGTCTAGGCCCCGCCGAACCAATCTGCAGCGGCAAGACGCAGAATGGGGAGAGGACGCTCTGCTGGTATGTCCAACTAGCCCCATTTCACCACTTCAACCCCCCCTCTCCTTCATCTTCGTCCAACAAACCATCCCCTTTTCTCTTTCGATGCAGTCCCATCTCCACACACTAACACAACCTCCCCTCTTCAAGCAACACAGAAAGCCCCGTCTGCGGCACCCTCCTCCGCGGCTCAGGCGAAAGCCAGAGAACGGGCCTAGCCTGCTTCGGCGCCGACTTCAAGACGAAATCCATCCAGACGCTCGCGTCGAATACGTGGCCGACCTTTATCACGGACCCGCTACCACCGTCATCATCAACATCGTCGGCGTCTTCGCCTTCGGCTACGTCCAGGCCCCAGATCGCGTCTGCGAAACTCTGCGCTACCCCGACGACCGCCACACCCTCGGCGTCTCCGACGAGCAGACCGATCAAGACGTCAACGTTCGGGATCCCTGATCCCTCGCCTTCGCCTGCGATGGCCCTGGAACAGTCGGCATCGGTGGGCAATGGACAGAGCGGCATCGTTCGGGGGCTCGGTGTGCTGGCTTTTGCGATGCATGTGGCTTGGATTGGTTTGTGAAGGAGTTCCAGGGCATGGGGGCAGTCTGATATATATCAACAGACCTGATGGGTTAGAATGAGCAAAATCGTTGAATCAAAAGAGAAAAAGAAGAAAAAGAAGAAGAAGAAGAAGAAGAATCATCTTTCCATTTGGTAGTGCCGCTTATGCCATGCCCCCTCGTAACCGATTCAGAGATGGAGCCCCCTTTGTTATCCCAACGCCCCTGTATACATGTTGCCAAAAACGTTCTGAATCTTCGCAAAAACAAGTGCTAGGCCTTTTCACACCTACCGCACCTTATGCCTCAAAACCTCAGCTTGGGCATCACAAACACCAAGAGGATCAAGGCGACCATGAGCCCGTACACCCAAGCATACAAAATCATCCTCCCCCACCATCCTTTCCCCTCCGTCATCTTCCGCAGCGTGCCCATCCGCCGGCTCGCGGCGTCCATCGACCTCTCCGTCTTATCCATCCCGTCCGCCGCGCGCGACACCACGCCCTTGTCCTGCTCGAGTGTGCTCGAGAACTTCTGCGAGCTGGCCTTGAGCGCGCTGGCCATCTTGAGGATCGACTCGGAGAGCGCGTCCTGCTCCGCGCGCTGGTGGTCCAGGATCGCCTCGGCCGTCGCCGTCGACGACGCGGGCCCGGAGGCCGAGGACTTCGTGGTGTTGGAGCGGCGGGAGGCGAAGAGGGCTGCGCGGGCTGTGGCTGTCGTTGTCGCTGAGGGCGAGTCTGGGCGGGCTGGGCCGCGGGAGCGGAGGGTCTGCGTTGTTGTCGTGCCCGCCTCGGGGGTTGTGTGTGTCTGCGGCGCAGGTGATGGTTCTGTTGCTGATCGTGCTGGTGCCGTTGGCGCCTCTGACGGTTCTCTGGGGACAGCCGTTACTGGTGGAGGCAGTTCCGGTATTTCTGGTTCATCGTCGTCGTCTTCGGGGGTGTTGTCTGTGGGTATATCTGTTGACCGCGAGTCCATGCTCTCGCTCGGTGTAGGAATGATATCGGCCAGGACGTCCTCTCCATCTGAACTGTTGTCATCCTCATCCTCGTGTAACTGTTGCGCAGGTGTCAGCAGCGACAACATGGAACTCGTCGCACCCTCACTCGGTCTGCAGGCCATCAAAAAGAGCGCACCTGTTCGAGATCATGCATCCTGTCCACCAGTCTCTCGAGAAGTTCGCGTTTACGGTTGAGATCGACCTGCATATCCTGCCGCCGGGAGAGCAGCTTGACGTGCAGCGCCTCCTGCTCAACTCTGGTAAGAAGACTGCGGGCATATTCGAGGTTCTGTGAAAGATTCCTGGTGAGCATAAAAGCACCGCGCTGTATTGGCCTTTCTTCAGGAGATCCCATACCGAGTTCAATCTCGCTCGCTCAAATTCGCTAGCCCGTAACCTGCGCTCGCGGCTCTGATCGGCATGCAGGATCGCATGGTCAAGTCGTCGCAGGAGTTGGTTGAGCTCGGCCGCGCCCTTCTCGGGGGTTGCGCCGCCGGCGGTAAATGGTGACGCCGATGATAATCGAGCCATAATGTATTTATCTGGGGTTCCTTCACTTGGGCTCACGATACTTTCGGGGGGGAGTTCGATTTCGGTCGGGTTTTGTAGAACCGGGGATTGTTGGACATGTGTCTGGAAAGCTGATGATATCGTCGCAAAGTCAAGCCACCGTGGCTGAAGCTCACCCCTCCAAGTGCTGGGCGCACAGGCCACACTCAAACACGTCGATCCCAAAAAGTGGGCTTCCTCTGCCCTTCCGTGTAAGTGAAGCAACATCTGAGAACTGCTCATCTTTGAGTTACTTGTGTCAATCGCACGAGTTCCTCCTAAACTATGTTTGAGATAACATCTCCTAATTAAGAGAATTTTTTAAAAAATAAAAAAATTCAATTGGCCCAATTACCAATTCATAGATAAGCAATGCCCCTCGTATACAACTGTTGTAGGCAATTCGTCACTGAATACCCAAGTCTATGTGATATCTTTAGAGCATCAACGTAAATACTCTCTGCCAATCGCCAAAAAGCTGGAGTGAAATATTTTGAGGAGCCTGAAGTCTTGTTATGCATCTTCCTCTTGGCATGCAAATCCTTACACACAAAGGTTCACTTGACAAGGCCTCTAGAAAATGCCACAGCAAAGCTATAGCTGCTTCAGCTCATCTCTCACCATGCAAGTACATAGGGAAGTAGAAGTTAGGCGATCCAAACATGATTGAAAAGCTTACATGTTAGATGTCCAATATTTTCCGAAATATCACTTCAGACGCGGGCACATAAGACTTCGCGGCCGGAACCGATGAGACGTAGCAAGATATCTGAGAGCTTCATTCATCATGGCCAACTACGCCGACTGATACTAGAACTTATGCGTTATTCTATTGACAACACCGTTCGCCAAAGAAGGGCTCGTTGGAGTCTCAAGAACCGGCTTTCATCAAAGGGGTGCAGCTAAGGCCCTTGCATGACCGTCCACTGGAGTGAAGACGGCCTTGTGTAACTCGACAACACCAAACACCAAAACTACAGTTGCCATCCTTGTTTGATATTTGCAGATTCAGAGTCAGACTCTTAGACTACGACTTACATGTCTTTCTTGAAGCAGAGTCCCGAACCCAGATGTTCCAATGCAGTCCAGATTTCAAAGTGAACCCCCTATGACAAACAACATCCCGAATCTCTTTACTCGCCATCATCCAAGAACGCCACTTTCTTGGGTGCCGCGAGACTGCTTGTTAAATACTTTCCCAGACTTGAGGACCAAGCAACAGATTGATGAGGTCAGACTACCAAGACGCAAGGTAAACCCAAAATATCGAGACTACGAAAGCCCCCCCCTCCCCCCCCGAGACGGGGGAAGGGGGAGGGTGGGCATGACTCTCATCATCACCTTGCTTCTCTCCATTGACTTAAAGAGACTCTAGATCAGATAACTTACCCCGGAAGGACGCAAGGCAAGCTCTATAATACGCTTGTAGTATAGTTTCCGGTGCACTCTTCCAAACACCACCACGTGACGGACGCAAATCCTTCGATAACACGACAAAATC